AAAAAAAAAAAAAAAAAGAATATTATAAAACTACTGTAATTAAAACACTATGGTACTGGCATAATACATCAGTAGAACAAAGCCTTGAAACAGATCCACATATCTAGGGGAATTTTTTTTTTTTTTTTAGTCAGATTCTCACTCTGTCGCCCAGGCTGGAGCACAGTGGCAGGCTGCTCACAGCCACCACAGCCTCAACCTGCTGGGTTCAGGTGATCCTTCTCTCTCAGCCTTCTAAGTAGCTGGAACTACAGGAATGTGCTACCATGTCCAGCTAATTTTTTGTTTTATTGCAGAGATGAGGTCTCGCCATGTTGCCCAGGCTGGTCTCGAAACCACAGACTCAGGCAATCCTCTCACCTTAGCCTCCCAAAGTGCTGGGATTATAGGTGTGAGCCACCACGCCCGGTTTCTATGGATACTTTATACAAAATACAAGTGGCATTTCAGTTAACTGGAAGAAGGTTTATTCAATAAATGGTGTGGGAAAGTCAGCTAATCATTCTGAAGAATAAAGTTATACACTCACCTTACATCATATAAAATACATTATAAAAAATTAAATGCATATATATACAAACATATATATACACACATACATACATATATATACACACACACATATATATTTGAATTGGAGTCTCACTCTGTCGCCCAGGCTGGAGTGCGGTGGCACGTTCATGGCCACTACAGCCTCGACCTGCTGGGTTCAGGCTATCATTCTGCCTCAGTCTTCCAAGTAGCTGGAACTACAGGTGTGTGCTAACACGCCCAGCTAGTTTTTAATTTATTGTAGAGACAAGGTCTCACCAAGTTGCCCAGGCTGGTCTCGAACCCGTGGGCTCAGGTAATCCACTCACCTCGGCCTCCCAAAGTGCAGGGATTACAGGCTGAGCCACCGAGCCCGGCCTAAATTCATATCTTTAAAAATACATAATGTAAGTATTGAAAAAATATCTATAGCTTTGAGATAGGAAGGTCTCCCTAAACAAAAAAATCTAGAAGCCATGATGGAGGAGGAAAAATGACTAGTTAAGAAGGAAACAATTTCTGAATGGCAAAATGCAAAAAAATTAAAAGTGAGAGACTGGGAGAAAACAATTACACAGAATAAAGTGTTAATATCCCACTCAGGCATGATGGTGGCACATGCCTGTAGCCCCAGCTACTCAGAAGGTTGTGGTGGGAGGATCATTTGACCCCAGGAGCTTGAGGCTGCAGGGAGTTATGACTGCATCACTGTACTCCAGCTGGGGCCACAGAGCCATACCCTGACTCTCAAAATAAAAAGTGTTAATATTCCTAGCATATAAAGTACTCTTACAAGTTAGGAAAAAGTTCAAAAGAAAAAATACAAAGATCTGGAAGGATCTGTTAAAGATCCACACAGAAGAAAAACCAAAAACCCAAACACTGGAAAAGATGCTCTATTTCACTGGTACTGAGGGAACAATGTAAAACAAGAATAGGCAGTCATTTTTTGCCCACCAAAAATGACATACATTAAACAAATATGACAAATCCAAACATGAATTTCTTTTGGAGCCAGAAATTACAGAATTGTTGATGGTGCGAATTTGAGGAATTACACAAAATTACGGTGAAAAACTTTGAAAACCACCAAAATATTTATCAACAAAGGGATTAAGAAAATAATATTGGCCGGCCACAGTGGCTCACGCTTATATTCCCAGCACTTTGGGAGGCCGAGGTCAGAGGATTACCTGAGCCCACAATCTGAGACCAGTTTGGGCAACTTGGCAAGACATCACTACAATAAATCAAAAAATTAGCTGGGCATGGTGGTACGTGCCTGTAGTTCTGGCTACTTGGAAGGCTGAAGTGGAAGGATTGTCTGAGTCCAGTGGTACACTCATGGCTGAGGTGGCCATGAGTGTGCCACTGTACTCCAACCTGGGAGACAGAGTGAGACTCCAAGTCAAAAAAAAAGAGAAAATTATAGTGCTATGTACGGTGGTTTATTACTCAGTCAATAAAGCAAAGTAGGAGACTTTCATGAGAATAGATGAATGTTGCTAAAAGATATACACCAGATTACATGTATAGTGTATGAAAGACACATATTTGGCGGGGAAGAGGAGGTCCTTTCAAGGTTTCCTGTATGATGTACCAAAGTTAGTCATGTGTCATTAGTTTAATTAGAGAAAAAGTGTTACTTTTAACAAATTATGCTGAATTGAATGGTATTTTAAATTCCCCAAAGTTGGGAGCTATAAACTTAATTTCTATACACCACCTACTTTATCACACACTGGCTTGGCATCTCAAAAAGGTTAATGTTACTATCAGATTTGACGCAGAACATTTCTTTTAGAAAGTTTAAGAAAAAAATTATATACAGCTGATTTAAAGGATTTCCGTTAAAAACTGCATAAAGATTCTTAACTTGCAATATATACAATAAAGGTTTTCTTTTCTTCCCCTATTCCTTATCATTTAAAATTTTATCTATGATAGTGCTTTTGCTCGTTTTTGTTGCCTGTAAATGAAAAACTGTGGTCAAATTTAACAAGCGTTTTTTCTATGGTTTCTGACTTCACTGATATGTTTATCCAGGCTTCTTTATCCAAGATTATACTATTATCTGTATTTTCTTCTAGTTTACATTTGCAATTTTTAACAAGTATATTAATATTTCCAATCACATGGGATTTTAGTATATATTAAATATCTATTGACTTGATGACATCCTTTCCTCGTGGCCCAATATAATTTAGACTCATGGCCAAAAATATCAATAAAATGCCAATATTTCTGGAATAGCAGCTAAGTATAATCCTATCCATTTTGCTGTACAAAATTATAGAACAATTATTAACTAACCATTAACATCAATCAAAAGCAAAAATAGGAAGTTATTAAAAATGAATCAACTATGAAAAATGAAGATCAGCAGGTAAATTCATATTCACCCCAACTTAGAAATAAGAACAAAAGGATACCTGCTAATCTTGAATCAAATCATTTTAGGCTTAAGTTTGAAGTAAATAGCCTTCAATGGTACAAAAAATTATAAATGTAAGTCTAATGTGAATATATGTACTTAAATGTTACTTTTTAGAACACACACATAACTCAAAAGAAATAAACCTCATTATTTAAATATTCTATAAACTGGGACTTTTCATTAATTTTTTTTTTTTTTTTTTTTGAGTTGGAGTCTCACTCCGTCGCCCTGGCTGGGGTGCAGTGGCACACTCACAGCCTGCCAGCATCGATCTGCTGGGCTCAGGCGATTCTTCAGCCTCAGCCTTCCAGTTCCTTGTAGTTCAAGGAGCTGGAACTACAAATGCATGCTACCACACCCAGCTAATTTTTAATTTATTGTATAGACGAGGTCTCACCAAGTTGCCCGGGCTGGTCTCGAACCCGCCAGCTCAGGCAATCCATTTGCCTTGGCCTCCCAAAGTGCTGGGATTACAGGCTGAGCCACCGAGTCCAGCCTTTTTTCACTAATTTAAACTAGATTCTTCCATTCTCTCTATACTTTATTCCAAACAGATATTAGGTAATAATAAAAATCTAAACTTTAAAAAGGAGGATTATGCTGGGCATAGTGGCTCACGCCTGTAATCTCAGCATTTTGGGAGGTGGAGGCGAGAGGACTGCCTGAGTCCAGGGGTTTGAGACCAGCCTGGGCAACTTGGCGAGACGTCATCTCTATAACAAATCAAAAAATTAGCTGGGTATGGTGGTGCACACCTGTAGTTCCAGCTACTTGGAAGGCTGAGGCAAAAGGATCACCTGAGCCCAGCAGGTAGAGGCTGTGGTGGCCGTGAGCATGCTACTGCACTCCAGTCTAGGTGACAAAGAAAGATTCCAACTCCAAAAAAAACAAAAAACAAAAAACATCAAGAGTGGTCACAACTTCAGGAAGGTTTTTTGAAGGACTCCTTAGTAGGGACCAACTCACCAGTGCATCTGAAGAATCTGAATATAGCCCCTTGCCAATCACCTGGGCTAACAGTGGGAAGTGGGAGTGAGAAGATGGGATAAGTCACTTCTCTCCGAAAGTAAGAGTTAGAATAAAACTAGTCAAAATAATACAAAATAGATTTGTCACAGTCCTAGAATCAAAACCATATAATAAGCACACCTACAACATGTTATCCAAAATCCTCAAAATAATACAATGATTTAAGATCATTAAATATAAACTCACTTGCCTAAAAAGGCAAAAAGTTACTGTTAAAACAAACTATTTTTCCTGTTCTTTGAATATTAGAACAGAATGGATGCAGCAGATAGTTTCAGCTACCTGCTCCTTCCCTTTCCTTCACTTACTCTCCAGACTCAAGAATGAGTCTCTCAGGGGTCTACCATCACAAGGGGCCTCCCTTGGTCTTAAGCACATAGCCAGTCACATATGAGGAACCCTATGTCAAAAAATAAAAAAAAAAAGGAAAAAAGAAAGAGGAGGATAGAAATGTCCCACAATAAAGGGCATAACTTGTAACATATAATTTCAAAATGGACAGCTTATAAAATGTAAATGTTTTTGCTATAATTAAAACTTTCAAAAATTACAGTATGTGTATTTTTACCATATTTGACCTGCAAACGAATTCACACCTAAGTAATGAAGGGTTATTTTAGTGGTCTGTAACTTGTAGAGAACTTTCACATAATTCCAGTTTGATTCTTAGCAACCCTATGAAATAAGACAAAGCAGGTATTATATCCTCTCACAAATGAGGAAACCCAGGCCAGGCTGACAGAAAAAGAACTGCATTCTGTCTTGTTCCTCCATAGTAGTTGTCTGCCACACCACCACAGAAAACAATTAATACAAATATTCATCATCTGATTTCTCACTGAAATGCTAAGAATTTACAGATTAAGACAATGCTCCAGAAACTTGCTATGTGCACTGAACAACATTTGTATTTGTAGTAAATGTATAGGATGACGAGTGCATCTTATCTGAAATCCTGAATTGTTCTCATTCTTATGAGTCAGTAGATTTTGGTCCTGATGGAATTGTTTGTAGTACTTCTGAAGTAAATAATAATTTTAGGCAGTAGTTTTGATTCTCTGCCTTTTTACTGTATGGCATCTCTACAAATGCAAACTTGATGACACAAAGGTTGAAGGCAGGGAGAGTTCAAAGTCTGCTTGCATACTACTGGTGTGGAAAGGAGGGTTGGGTCTGGAAAGGAATACATTCCATTAAAATAAACAAAAGAGGTCATTTTCCACAGAGGTCTCCAAAGAATCAAAATATGTAAGCCAATAAATAAGACATTAGGCTTCTGTTTTTGTTAATCACTTTGAACAATTATAAAAATGTATGAGAAAGTTTTATCTGTTGCTAGGCTTCTTTGCTTAAAGACTCAGCAGCAAAAATGCCAGGTTTTGATTTCTATGTTTCACTTCTTCAGCAAGTGAAACTAGATAAACTGTAACATGTTCAACATGAAAAATTATAAAACTTACCTCACAATCAGGGCATATAATTGTGCTGCATTCTTCAGTTATTAACAAGCACAGCTGACAAAAGGAATGTCCACATTGAAGCTCATGGTGGTGACCTGTTGATGAAATTCCATTGTGAATTAAACTTTCCACAGTAAATGCTGAATGGGCAATACTGATCAAGGGAACGTTCAAAGGGAATTCTATTGTACAGGAAAAGATAGCTAGTTTAGTGAAATAGGTGACCAGTAAACAAAATTCAGGAGAAGCTATTAGGTCAGAAGGAGGGAAAAAAACTAGCACAGCTGTGTAATAACGTTTGCATTAATTCAGACAGCTATTTTGGACCTATAATACTTTGAATATGCCAAAACTTTTTAATTGATCACAATGACAACTACTCATTTACATTTCCCATCCTGTGAAGGGGTCAGGAAGGCCAACATTAGACACTGGTAAGGCCAGAAAATAAGATGGAAGCCAGACACTACTATTGCCACACACAGCCCACATAAAGATAGTTTCCACAAACCTAGCATTATGAAAGTAAATATCACAACTCTGAAGAATCTCATATCAGCCGGGCTCGGTGCTCAGTCTATAATCCCGCACCTTTGGGAGGCTGAGGTGAGTGGATTGCCTGAGACCGCGGATTTGAGACCCGCCTGGGCAACTTGGCGAGACCTCATCTCTACAATAAATCAAAAA